TATAGTCATAATCATTATCATTGTCATTATGGTTATAGTTATCATTAGTAATGGTTATAGTTACTGGTATAATTATCATATCATTGCAGTTGTCATATCATATTATTGTTGTTGTTGTTATATTTATTGTTATATAATAATTATAGTTGTCATTAGTTGTCATTAGTAATTGTTATAGTTATTGTCATAGTTATCATTAGTTAAGGTTATAGTTATCGTTATAGTTATTGTTTATGTTTAAGTCATTGTTATAGTTACCTTTAAAGTTTGTATCATAATCGTTATCATTAGCTATACGTTGTACTGATGGTTATAGTTGTCATTAGTTGTTTTTGTTCTTATAGTTATAACATATGGTTACAGTCATTGTTGTAATATTTTTGTTTATTGTTTTAGATATCTTTACAGTAATAGTTAAAGTTCTGGTTACGGTTGTAATTCTAGTCATTCTTCTGGTTATAATTATAATTCTAGTCATTGTTCTGGTTATGGTTATAATTCTAGTCATTGTTCTGGTTATAGTTGTAATTGTAGTCATTGTTCTGGTTATTGTTGTAATTCTAGTCATTGTTCGTTTCTAATTCTAGTCATTGTTCTGGTTATAATTATAATTCTAGTCATTGTTCTGGTTATGGTTGTAATTCTAGTCATTGTTCTGGTTATAATTATAATTCTAGTCATTGTTCTGGTTATGGTTGTAATTCTAGTCATTGTTCTGGTTATAATTATTAATTATAATCATTGTTCTGGTTATAATTATAAGTTATGATTGTAATTCTAGTCATTGTTCTGGGTTTAGATGTAATTCTAGTCATTGTTATTTTGTAATTCTAGTCATTCTTCTGGTTATAATTATAATTCTAGTCATTGTTCTGGTTATAGTTGTAATTCTAGTCATTGTTCTGGTTATAATTATAATTTTAGTCGTTGTTCTGGTTATGGTTGTAATTCTAGTCATTGTTCTGGTTATAATTATAATTATAATCATTGTTCTGGTTATAATTATAAGTTATGGTTGTAATTCTAGTCATTCTTCTGGTTTTAGATGTAATTCTAGTCATTGTTCTTTTGTAATTCTAGTCATTGTTCTGGTTATAATTATAATTCTAGTCATTGTTCTGGTTATAGTTGTAATTCTAGTCATGGTTCTGGTTATAGATGTAATTCTAGTAATTGTTCTTTTGTAATTTTAGCCATTGTTCTGGTTATAATTATAATTTTAGTTATTGTTCTGCTTATGGTTGTGATTCTAGTCATTGTTCTGGTTATAATTATAATTCTAGTCATTGTTCTGGTTCTGGTTATAATTCTAGTCATTGTTCTGGTTATAGTTGTAATTCTAGTCATTGTTCTGGTTGTAGATGTAAGTCTAGTCATTGTTATTTTGTAATTTTAGTCATTGTTCTGGTTGTAGATGTAATTCTAGTCATTGTTCTTTTGTAATTGTAGTCATTGTGCTGGTTATAGTTGTAATTCTACTCATTGTTCTGGTAATAATTATAATTCTAGTCATTCTGGTTCTGGTTATAATTCTAGTCATTGTTCTGGTTATAGTTGTAATTCTAGTCATTGTTCTGGTTATAGTTGTAATTCTAGTCATTGTTTTGTTGTAATTATAATTCTAGTCATTGTTCTGGTTATGGTTGTAATTTTAGTCTTTGTTCTGGTTATAATTATAATTCTAGTCATTGTTCTGGTTATGGTTATAATTGTAGGCATTGTTCTGGTTATGGTTGTAATTCTAGTCATTGTTCTGGTCATGGTTGTAATTCTAGTCTTTGTAGTGGTTATGTTTGTAATTTTAGTCATTGTTCTGATTGTAATTATAATTCTAGTCAGTGTTCTGGTTATGGTTGTAATTTTAGTCATTGTTCTGGTTATAGTTGTAATTCTAGTCATGGTTCTGGTTATAGATATCATGACATCTCACAACTAGGGCTGGGTATCGTTTTTGTTTTTTTTCGATACCGGTGCCAAATCAATACTTTTAAAATGGTTCTGGTGCCTAAACGTTGCCTGAACCGATACTTACTAAAAATATAAATAAAGAAAAATTCCCCCAAAAATGATGGATTGGCCATTAGCACTATAAACACATGATTTCTGTTTCATTCATACTGGACACCAGTGGGCGCCCTCACACATAACATTCACATATTCAGTCACAGAAGTAGCAGAACTCATGACCCTCCAGGAAATCCCTTATATGGACAAAGGCATCGCTATTATAGCTGTAACTGAGTAAACAGAACATATAAACGTTTTGAACGATAAAACAAAGACAATAAACACTCGACTGCGACAATATAGTTTATCTGTGTTATTCAAGCCATCTCTAGTATTTTCATAACAATTAAGTATATTTATAATCCATTGCTAATCGATGTATTATTTTTAAAGTAGCCTATGGAACATATTTTCTGCCTCATTCTGTGACAAGAAGCCACATCAGATCACAAAAGGAAGCATTTGACTGGTGTTGTGGAGTAAAAAGTTACAC